ACTGCATACGTGGGGAGCTTGTTGGGAGCGGCAGGAAATTCATTTATGCACTTGCATGTGTACATATATATATATATTTTAAATTGTTAGAAAATCACGCATATCCTGCAACAATACCTGTTGTAACCTTGCTGAAGTAGGGGCCATTTGTATCAGAAAGGACAGCAGAAAGGCTCCAGAAGCAATTTTTTTTCAGATGCCAGTTTATTGCTTTCCCTGAATTCTTGTTCTTTGCTACAAGCCCCTGCTACAGGGGCTAACGCAGTTAACGCGGACCACCTTGGCTGGCTGTCGCGCTTTGGGACGCAGAGGGAGAGGCATCTGTGGTTAAGGAGTACGGCGGCGAGGGCAGGGCTGGCTGGCTGCTGTCGGACGGAACCTTTTCTGGTGAGAAAAATGTGATTCGCTGGAACAGCGACTTCTCCTGGACAACAGTGTTCCGACACAACCTGGGTCCAGAAGATGTCTCAGGTTTAGGATGGGAACAGCCTTGGAATAGCTGAGCTCAGCCCTGCTGTAACAGTCCGCAGTGGCTGATGCTTCACTCATTTGCGACGCAGGACACCCAAATTCGGGACCCCGCTCTGCTTGCTTTGCAGTAAGTGGATCTCCCACATCTCCCCCAGACTCCTGAAACCCCAGGGGTGTTGGTTTTTCTTTCACTGCTTTGAAAATTCTGGAAAAATCTGGTATTTCTACCAGCTGAAACAAAACCAATTATTATTGCTACAATTAACTGGAAAAGAGGAGCTCTTATTCCTTATGTGTGCTTGCAGCAAACTAGCGACGACAACCTCCTTGTTCTATTACCTTTTCTCTTGTCTGCTGGGTCAAATCCATTCTTGGACAAATGCAGATGGAAGATCTGTGTAACAAATTCTGGTTTTGCTGCCCAGAAATGTGTGTCTTGCAAAGCGGAGTGCAGGCAGTGTGCGTGCTTCGCTGTCTCTGTCCCACGGACGACCAACCCCTGTCCATCACAGTGACCCATCTCATGAGCACCAAGGCACCCGCCGCCGGGCGGGCAGCTCCCGGGGAGCTCGCACATCAGCCTCTCCAGTGCTCCCACATCATTCCCGGCTGCAGACGGCTCCGTCCTGCTCCTCTGCCCTCCCAGGCGCTGCTGGTGCTCCTGTCTGATGTTCAGTTAATTTAGCATCTCTGATGGGAACAGCCCAACAGCCGATCGGGTTGCTCTCCCTGGGTACCACCTGAGCAGTACAGGACAAGGCGTTGCAGCTTTTGTGGCAAAGCAAGCAGGTTATTTCTTAGGTCATGGGTACATTTACAAGTGAAGGAGCGCCAGCGTTGAAGAGGACCACAATAACCTAACTGCATGGGTGGGAACGACAAGGTGTACGACATGGCCTGCGTGGCCAGGATCAAAACTCCTCTGCAGCCTCTCTTTACGGAACACTGAAATTCTTGGAAAATGGCAGGGCACCAAACCGCTGGCACTGGAGACCGAAGCTGCTGGAGGTTTCAACGCTCAGAGAAAGAGCCTCAAGTCCCCTGAACATCCAGTCTTTATGGGCTGAAGAAGTCTCAGTACTGTATGGAGACATCATGCCATAAAACTTAATGGGGTGGAGTCTCCATGCTTTGAAGACTCTATGAACATAAAGTCTTTCTCTCAGAATATTTACCTTCATATTTTAGTGCCCAGGAATCCTCCCAGCCCTCTGTACAGACTCTGCTCATTTTGGAGAAATAGTATTGATGACCCACACCTCAAAGCCAAGACAAACTAAGAACCTTGAAGAGTTCAGTTAACTTCAAGAGCTTGTTTTCTGCTCCAAATTGCTTCATGAACTCAGTGAATATTCATAAATCATCAGTACGGTTTGCCTGCCCCGCTGGAGCTCTAACTCTGCTCTTTTCACAGACTCTCAGTAACACAGAACCTGCTACTGGCCGGTCCGCTCAGGGCTGTGGCCTGGTGTGGCCCCATCATTGGTGCATGGGTGGTGCAGAAAAAGCATCCATGCTTTCAGCCAGGTAGGAAGGAGGTCTTGCGTATGCTATCTTGACTACTGGGCAGGGGGGGAGGTTATAGGTGTAAGTCACAGAAATGTCCATCTGTCTGTGATGGCAAAGCACATTCGAAGCTCTCCAGCTGTTACAGGCAGGGTCTGGGCTTCCTCTGAGCTTTGTGTATTTAACTGCAGGTTGCTTTTCTGCAAAGTGTCAGAGGGAACAGCACGGTCGTCACACTGTCTCTGCTGGGAAACAGCTGCCTCACCTCTTCCACTACTGAGACTTGTGGCAGTCCCCGGTGGTTTAAGACCCAACGCATGGGGGTTGGAGCAGAAGACACAGCTGACCAGTGACGACAGGGCAGAACGGGAGCGGCCGGGGACAGGCATCTCTGGCTGCGGTTTTCAGGCCAGCCTGGGCCAGAAGCGGGGCTGAGCTCGCAGGGCAGGGCGTTATTTTGGTACATGCTTCTCTGCAGGGGACGGGAGCGGCTGCCTGCAAGGGCAGACCCAGAGCCCACAGGCTGGAGCAGGGGAACAGCCCGGAGGCAAGTTTATTGCTCCT